CATCACATCTTTTAATATTTTTAGTTGCATTATTATTTTATTCATCATACTTTGGTAATTGTTAATACAAAAAAAAAAAAAAAATGATACTTGGGTAATTAGATCAAACTTATCATAATTTCTTCTTCTTACTTTTGAAATTAGAGAATATGAATTAATGGAAAGAGTTACCAATAGAAAAATTAATTAAGGATAATAAGTATAATATTTAAAAATAATAATAAAAAACAAAACAAACAGGTCAACTCGTTAACCCACGGGTTAACCCTAAGCCGACCCGTGACCCACACGGGTTAATAATACTGGTTATCTACTGGTTGCGAGTTGAGATATGTAGACCTTAACCCACTTTTTACTAGTTAGGTTAAGATCAGATTGACGGGTCAGATCAATTTTTGCCAGGTCTATCTATAAGTAAGGAATTTCCTCCCACGTCTCTAACCTAATGGCAAACAAAGTGAGAGAGAATCTACTTAATCCTAGAGCACTCATCGAGTTTAAGTATCAATAATTCTTTGTAGTGGTAACACAAGTTATGAACTAATATTTAGTGATAGTGGCCCAAGCCCGTCTTTCTAATGGGCTTGGTTCCCGTTAAGAAGACAAGATAAGACTCTAACCGGCCTAAACCGAATCCGGTGGGATTCGGTATCACTCTCTCCTCCACGGAAGCAACAAACCACCTTGTCCAGCTGCGCTTCCGTTTTCTCTATCGCCGCCACCCAATCCGAAACCTCCATTCTCCCTCTCGATGTGATCGATACCGATGGACTCTCTCCAAGCTCTGCCTCCGCTCTCCAGCCTTTCCTTGTCGGCAGTCTCTTTCCTCAACGCGAAGCTCAGAACCGGCGAAGACCTCGCTCGAGCACCGAGTCTCGTGTCCGAGTTGCAGACTCAGTGTAAGGATTTGGACGCCTCTCTAGTCGACCTTAATCGGAGTCTTGAATCAAGACTTGCAGCTTATGCTTCCTTCTCCGATCGCATCGATGGCCTATTCGGTGATGTTATAACCAAATTAACCGATCTCAGATCCTCCGATCTCAAATCTTCCGTTTCTCCCCAGGACTCCATTGCAGGTTCTATTCAGCTTATGCGTAGTTTGTTTTCATAGGTGTAATCATTTCTGCTTGTTCCTTGATTTTTACTGCTTTCTGTTGAAGTTTCTACATTTTACAGTGTTCGAATTTATTTTAGCTGCTGCATTTGAGATTAAATGTACTGTCCCCTCCATATGCATATCAAATGCATAAGCATCTACGTCCCTATTTCTGAAATGATTTCTTGTTTATATATATGTGTATATATATATATATCTTGTTAAAGGGTAATGTTTTGAATTTGATTAGTGATTCATTGGTCATGGAAATATATGGACTTTCTTTTTCCCTTTTTCCTTTTTTTTTTTTTTTTTTAATTTCTAATTTTATTTCTATACACGGTGTATTCATTCCCTTCTTCTTCTTCTTCTTCTTCTTCTTCTTTTGTGGAAATTGGGTGTAGATGGAAGTGGAGGAGGACTGGGGGAGGACCTGCCGGTGCTGGCTAAGGAAGTTGCAAGGGTGGAGACAGTTCGAGCATATGCTGGTGAGTCAGCTTTTCAAAACGTGAAATCTGTTGAGCAAAACATAGCATGGTGGTGACATGATGATTACTTAAAAGCAGTAAGTTTGTTATTCATCGGTCAATAGGTGAAGGCCAAAAAAGATGCAGTCCATAGGTAGGACGTCCTATTTGATATTAATCAACGTCAAAAAAAAAAAAAAAAAAAAAAAAGTATGAAGTGAGCTACTGAATGTCAATATTCAGTTTTCGGCATTTTAGTTACTCTCTAGGATTGTGATTTGTTGTAGATTATTAGTTATATGGACTAGTGGATTAACTCATGTCAAAGGACAGTAGTAGATCTGTGATAGACTTAATTAATATTCATCTCTTATACATCAAAAAAAAAAAAAAAAAAATTAGTCACTTCTTAGAATTGTATTTCTCTCTTCGTGACTACCTAGGAAATGAGGTTAAAATTGGGAGTTGAGTTTAATGTTAATGCTGAGCTTGAATGTTTCTTGGTCCTATTGAGTTTCTATCCTTTCTTCCTTTGGGTTTTCTTAACTGTTTATATTTATTTGTGAATTTGAGCCTCATCTTCTCTGAAATTGTCCGTCTGGATTTGATACATCTGAAGTTTTGAGGCCTTGGATCTTATTACTAGCGTCATTAACAGTATGTTTTGTGTTATAGCAATTTGGTGATAAATCTGTTGATATATTTTGCAATTTAGAAGAGTCTACTTGGGAAGGCCCCAGTTTAGATTGTAAAGTTTTGAAACTAGGTTACTTAATCTCCTCATAGAATCCAGATGTAAGATAGGCTTTTTTTTGTCATTCAGAGATGGCATTAAAGCTTGACAATTTGGTTGGGGATATTGAGGATGCCGTATCTTCTGCTATGAACAAAAACTTAAGGAAGCGTTCCTCTGCACAGGATTCAGAAGTAAGCACCTTGTATTTGGAAAAAGAGCTAAAATGCTGTTTCAAATATGACTCCTCACAATAAATTGTTTTTTTTCCTTAATATTGTAGGAAATGCGCCTGGTTGCTATTAAAACACTTAAGCTTGTGGAAGACATTTTGACTTCAGTAACAAAGACACGCCCTCAATGGGCACGTCTAATCTCAGCAGTTGATCATAGGGTAGATAGAGCTCTTGCAATACTAAGGCCCCAGGCAATTGCTGATCATCGAGCACTTCTTACCTCCCTTGGGTGGCCACCACCACTTTCCAATTTGACTTCCTCAATTCCTGATGCTAGGAAATTAAGTGAAGTCTCAAATCCTCTTTTCACAATGGAAGGAGACCTCAAACACCAGTATTGTGAAAGCTTTCTTGCTTTGTGCAACCTGCAGGAGTTACAGATACAAAGAAAATATCGGCAGCTTGAGGGCCACAATCGGGAGGTCGCTCTCCACCAGCCACTTTGGGCAATTGAAGAGCTTGTCAACCCCATATCAGTTGCATCCCAACGGCATTTTTCTAAGTGGATTGACAAACCAGAATTCATTTTTGCTCTAGTATATAAAATTACTTGCGATTATGTTGACTCTATGGATGAATTACTGCAACCACTGGTTGATAAAGCAATGCTAACGGGTTACAGTTGTAGAGAGGAATGGATTTCAGCAATGGTAGCCTCCTTATCAACTTACTTGGCAAAAGAGATAAGCCCTACATATGTTGGTCAGTTTGATGAAGAGAATGCCTCTGGTATTACATCACAGGCCAGGACATCTTGGCTCCATCTTGTTGATTTGATGGTCTCATTTGATAAGAGGATAAGGTCCCTTGTAGAACAGTCTGGAATTTTGCAATCACTTCAGGAAGATGGGACCTTGCAGAAGATTTCATCTTTGTCAATGTTTTCTGATCGACCTGACTGGCTTGATTTATGGGCAGGAATAGAGCTTGCAGACATGCTAGAGAAGTTACAAATCAGGATGGATGATGAGAGAAATTGGACTAAGAAAGTTCAGGGACCAGCTCTCTCTGCTTCTGATGATTTTAAGTCTCCTGCAATTTCTAGTGGCATTCTTCAAAGTTTACAATCTTTGATTGAACGATGTCGATCGTTGCCTACAATTTCTTTAAGGGCAAGGTTTATCAGATTAGCTGGTGCACCTCTCATACAAAAATTTTTGGATGTCTTGTATCTCAGATGCCAAGAAGCTGAAGGATTAACTGCCTTAACAGATGACAATGCCCTGGTTAAAGTTTCTCACTCCATCAATGCAGCTCACTATGTTGAATCTGTTTTGAAGCAATGGTGTGAGGATGTATTTTTTCTAGAAATGGGGTTGATTCAGGATGATCAAGTGGACCTACCTATTGCTGAAATTAGCAGTAGTAAGGTGCTGGTCGAAGGTTCTGGTTGTATTTTTCATGGGGAAATTGCAAGATTGGAAGAATTTAGAAAAGAATGGGTTGAGAAGATATTTGTTGTAGTTTTGAGGGGATTTGATGCCCAATCTCGTGACTATATGAAAAACCGGAGGCAATGGCAAGAAAAGAGTGAAGAAGGTGGGTCACTATCCAAGATGTTAGTTGGAGCTCTTGATTATTTGCAGCGAAAAATGTCAGTCATTCAAGAAAATTTAAATGGGATAGACTTCATTGGGGTCTGGAGAAGTCTGGCAGCCGGGGTGGACAAATTGATATTTAATGGTATTTTTGTAAGCAGTGTGAGGTTTAATGATGATGGAGTCGAGAGATTAGGTTATGATTTGGAGGTCCTATTTGGAGTTTTCGGGGCTTGGTGTTTGAGGCCTGAAGGCTTCTTCCCCAAATCAAATGAAGGCTTGAAGTTGTTGAAGATGGGAGAAAAGCAACTTCAAGATCACTTGATAGGAGGGGAGACATGGTTGAAGGAAAACGGGATCAGGTATTTGAGTTTAGCTGAGGTGGACAAAATCGCGAGGAATAGAGTATTCAAGAATTGAAAGCTTTTAAACTTTGTAGTACCTGCAGACACTGCACTTGGACATAGAACACAGATCAGAAAAAAACATGGAGGTTAGGTCAGTTTTTATGTTGTATATTGACTCTTTGACTTCTGAATTAGCCATTTATTTATGAAGATTACAGGATAATAAAGCATCAAATTGTTTGTGATTATCGTTATCGTGTTTATTATTATTGAATCATTGGTGCAGGCTGAAATTATCAATTGTTTATCATTCTTTTTGTCTCCACAAATGAAATTTGGAATGTATCTACCTTGTCCTGTAGTCTGCACTTGAAATGAGATCATCCTTTTTCTCTAATGTTTCGAGTCCTTTTCGTTTATTATTAGCGCTTATCATTGCAAATGATTCTTTGCACTCTAAAATATAGTATTTTTTTGAAGGATTATAAATGTATCTTTGTCCAACTCTTTGGTGATGGGGAACACAGCATGTTAAGGATACCAAATAGAGCACAGAAGCTTAAAGATTGAAAATTACACTAAAACCTAAAATGGAATACTAAAATGATCTTTGCGTCGTATTTTTCGAACCATTATGTTACATTTAATAGACCGCTCAGCTACCAACTTGTTCATTGCTGGAATCAGGAAAAATATATAAATAAATAGAACAGTGGTATTGCTCGGAATGACATCAATCAAATATTTTTTTTATTGCTCGGAATGACATCAATCAAATATTTTCCCATTAGAACAGTTGTCCCTCGACGGCTTTAGATTTTTTTTTTTAATAACTGGCTTAGAATTTTTTCTAATAACAGAAAGTTTTATATATATATATATATATGTTTACACCATATATTATAAAATTTAATATCATACCACGTATCAAAAATTTTTAAATGAATGAAGGAGATTTAGTCATGTCAAATATGTAATTATGGATCTTATAATAAATCAGCTGTCACATAAGGAAGAATGAGGTAAAAAGCTAAGATTTTATCTTTTAAATTGAGTATGTTTTAGCAGAGATTTAGGAGGTAGCTTCAGTTATGGATGTGGGTTATCAGATAATGAGACAGATGGCGAAATCTAAAAGAAAATTTGATTCTATCAACTGCTAAGGTGTCCCACTTTTTCAAGAAATTTTCTACAATTTGTGTTACTGCAAAAAGTGGGAGGTTTGTAGGTTGAGAAGAGGAGAACAAAAGAGAAATTTTCAATCATTCAACACAACCAACCCCTACACACAACCTACAAATTTTCAAAATTTAATTTTTCTACAATTGCTCACTTTTGCTTACAAATTTCAAATTTCAACACAATTCTCAGTAGATTTAAGTTGTTTTTTGTCATCCTAGTAGTTGAATTAGTTCATGTATTTGCTTCAACAATTTCGTTTCATGTAATGAACTTTAAGCTTTTGAATTTCTACAAGAAACTATTCCTTTTCTGACTAGTGTTAATTTAATGTTTATGATAAGTAGTGTTTCATCAAATGATTACTTATATGGCGTTTACACTTCTTCTCAATTTCAAGCATGTTAATTTAGTCCATATTCATATTTGTTTTAGTATTAATTAAGGTTAAATCTTCAATTCTATAACAGTTTCATTTTAAATCTATTTGTAGGTAATAGTTTAATTTGATAAGGAACATGCTTAGTTTAATTTCAATGTATTTTTTTTATTTGCAAATTTATTTTAATTTGCATGTCATTTAACTCGTTTAGGATTTGTTAACTTTGATTCACGGTAGTGTTTAAGTCTTTGGAGTTGTCCAAAGTAGATTTAGTAACCCATTCTGCAAGAAAGCATCCCTCCCTTTTGCAAATAGTCTGTAGGTGTAGATTTTAATTTTAAACCAATGTTATTCCCGCCACCCACAAAGAGGTTGACCATGAGGAAGGAGAGGGTCCTTGGGGAAATCCTTCTTTCTTACTTTCAGCAAAGTAAGTGACATGCATGCATTTAGATTCCGCATGTGCGAAACCACTAAAGGATTTTTGAGGAAATAATCCCTTTTTTGGCACGTCTGGTGGGACCTCATCGTGTTTCACTTACAGTTTTCAAATAAGTTGTTCTTTTATCTAAAAAAAAACATAGTTATGCCACCAAAAAGAAACACTTGGAAAGCTGCCCAGACTTTACAGATTGGGCTTGGTGAAAGCAATCCAACACATTCACAAGGAGAGAATGAGCCATTCATTCCACCACCATTTTCACTAGTACTTGGGGAGCACTCCTTTGTCAATCCAACCTTCAACAAAGATAGTGAATTAGGAGATGATGGTGTTCAATTTAGTGACTCCTTTATAAAGGCTGTGTCAGAACAAATTAGCATGATGAGGCGAACATAGTTGGAATCTAAAGAAAGAGCTCAAAAAAGAAGCCAAGAGCTTGGTAGACAATTAGATGAGTCCCTTCAAAACCTAGCCCAAAATATAGCTAACATGTGGTGTTCTAATGAAGAAAGTGCAAGAGTTTGGCAAGAGAAAAAAGCAAAAAATTGGAGAGCCTTTCAACTGAACCAGAACAAATATAGGAAGTATTTTGATGTGCTAGAATTGAGGCTCAACCATAAGTAGCATATCTTTAAAGATAGAACCAAAATATTCTAACTATAGCACTCGGGGGGTAAGTTAATCTGCCACAGCCACTTCACCAAAATCAATAGGCAGCAAATGGACCAGTGTAACTAGAAGTAGTTGAGGCTGCACAACGTGTAGTAAAACTAGGCAATCCCTAGCAACCCAAATATCTACCACCTCAGTGTCGACCAAATGGAGGTCATCCACAACATAATGCACCTTCACTAAGGGAGCATTTCCAGTCTTATGTGCCACCCATGCAACAAAAGCCCCAAGGTCTACCAGGTCCGTACATTAATCATGATCAGATCATTAATTTGGTGCAAGAGGCTTATGGTCCAGTTTTAAGGCCTTTAGTCAAACCAGCTTATAGAAAACCATGTCCAAATTTTATAGACCAAAAGAATCCTTTTTCAAGGGATTTAAGGTTCCAGAATTCACCTTATTTTTCGGAGCTAGTGGATATTCTACAATTGACCATATAAGCTGCTTCACAATTTAATGTGGTAAGGCCTTCAGTGATGATAAATCTGAAGCTCAGACTTTTCCCTAGTCCTCTAACTAGTTAAGCTTTCACCTGATATTTGAGTCTACCACAGAATTTAATTTATTCTTGGAGGCAGATGGAAGATCTTTTCTATATTCAGTTTTATCATAGTGAGCCAGAAGTATCCATGGCAAATTTATCTCGTTTGATGTAGTGACTTGGAGAAACATTTAAGACCTTCATTGCCAAATTTCGAAAGGCTTGACTTAAGTGCAGAGTTGCCTTGCCAAAACAGGAGCTTGTCAAGCTAGCACAAAATGGTTTGGACATTAAGCTAAGGAAGAAGTTTGAGGGAATGGAGTTTCATGATTTCTTTGAACTGTTTACAAGGTGGCTCGTTATGAAAACTTATTGCGAGAAGACACAAAGGAAATCTACATCTAATGGAACTTACTATGGAGACGCTAACTTTGATCTGGATGTGGCAGAAGTGGTGGCAGACAAACCTGTTGTTTGCCCAGATCTAATTAAAGTGGCCTAGCAAACTGATAAGATAGTAAAGCATTATGTCAATGAGGCTGGAAAGCAATACACCTTTGACATCTCAAAGACTAGTGAATCTTTGACCTCCTTAGAAAGAGTGGTCTAATTAAGTTGCTATTGGGGCATAAAATCCCAACGACTGGCGAAATTAAAAGTAGAGAACATTGTAAGTATCATAATTCTTGGAAATATTCTACTAAAGATTATCTCATTTTCAAAATGTTTTGTAAGATAAAATCGATAAGGGAATTCTGTGTTTTCTAGATATGGCTAAAGAAACTATGAGAGTTTATATAAATCCATTTCCTAGTGTGTCTATTGGGGTGAATGCAATAGATCTTAGGAGAATTGCTAGAGACAAAAATCAACCATACTCCAGGCGTAGACTTACAACTGATGATTTGAGGTGGGTCATTGAGGAGGCAAGGTCCCGCAGAAATCAAATCAGATAAGACCCATCTCGAAGAAAAAGGCACGGGGTGCATAACCCAACGCAGTAAAAAAAAATTACAGATTAGGGAACTGTATTATTTGGACACGTAAAAAAGCCTAGAATGGTGAAACCACCACCCAAATCTCCAAGCAAACGATCAGAATATGTGGTCCATCCAAAATTTCCTTAGGTTCAGAATCCAAGGACTTTAAGATGGCGCTTACAATGCAAAACGACAGCAAAGAGGCGCTGAGAACAAGTTAAAGGGTTGGGGGGCATGGTGGATTAAACTCACTCGCTCCCAATAAGGAGGAAATCAGTGTGGATTCGCAAAGATAAAGCAAGCACATCTGGTCAGGCTTCTCCAAAAAAGAATGAACCACTTAAAAGTCCAACATTGCTTCAAGTTTTGACTGTAGAATCAAACAAAGAAACTGGCTTAAAGGCAAAGTTTGATGTGCTAGATAAAGTGAAAAGTTCATCAGATGTAATTCAATTTGATGAGTTTTCCATCAATCTATCTTGTTTGATGATTACTCTTCCTCTAATCTTCCAAGTGAAGGAACAATCAAAATCTGTAGTTTATTAGCAGATAGATCAAACCGAGGAAGAAAGAACCATTAAAATCCCAGCTAAAGAAGATGGAAGTGTGGATTCAGCAAACAAAATCATTTTTGAGAAGCCAGAAGAGAGGATGGCCAAACATATAATGCCATTATGCATTCATGTCAATAAATCAAGTTCTAGTTGATAATGAAGTAGCTGTTCATGTTTTGCCAACTTGCATGCTGCACAAAATTAGCAAATCTTTGGGTGATTTAATGAAGATAAAAGTGGCAATCAGTGACTTTACTAATGAGGTAAATCACTCAAAGGGAATTCTACTAGTATAACTCACTATGGGAAATAAAACTCTTATGTGCGCATTCCTTGTGGTTGACACCATTGTCACTTATAATGCATTGCTTGGGAGAGATTGGATACATTCCAGTTGGTGTGTTCATTCAACTTTGCACCAGAAATTGATATTCTATAATGGTGGCAAAACTGAGGTCATGACAATAAATGACAATCCTTTTGTGGCAAACACCAATCCAGTGACAGCTCATGATTATGATGAAGATATTGGCACAATTCGCTTTTTTGGGATGGACCGTTATGATAGACTTTTTGGAGTCACTGCTTACACCAAATCTGCACTTAACAGACAGATTGTGAAAGAGGTCTATGATGAACTTCTTTAGCCCATAGTAA